AGAGCCAGCCTTGTAGCCTGTTTGGATTCCTCCCTGGGAAATTCAGCCCTCCCTCACTACAGCATATGGGATGCATTGACACAAATGAAAGCCTGAAGCACAATGTACTAATCAAAACTGATCATCTGCATTTCTAGATCAAAGTGTATCAGTATATAATCTTATTGTATGAGCTGTAATGTTGAAAGCATCTTAGCTTAAAACAGCTTAGTCTCTTCTATGATTGTTGTAACCAATTTATGGCTACTCAGTGGATGAATCTATATTGTGATATCTATTTGACCCTAATAAAGTTATTGCATACAATGCATGTTTTCAGAGTATGTTAATATTGAAATGTCACTGTCAAATAACGAAGATAACTATTAAAGAAAAATAACTATTCCTATGCCTGACCTTATTGGTCATATTCTTACTGTTTTCCAACACTTTTATGGGGGTTGTGTTAATGTACAGTGGAGTACAACACTTCTGCAGATACCTGTCATTAAAGGTCAGTATCACAAGTTTTTAAAAAAAATTAAAAGTGTGCAGTTTAATACCTGCCTGCCTCTTTACCTCTCTTTCCACTGTCAGTAGGACTAGCCCAATACTGTGCTAACCATCCCAGTTCTGAGGATTGCTGGAAAGCTAGGTGTGAGTTGTAGAGAAAACAAACTGGAATATATAAGTGTTCTCATATTCCAAATGAGGGCAAAATACAATTTTCTGGGTTAACGAAAAATTAAATTAATTATTTGGGCTCTTGGTTAATTTGTTTGGGGTTTTTTTTATTTATGTGATTATTTGGGTTTTGGGGTTGTTTGTTTGGGGGAGGTGGTTTTTTTTGGTTGGTTGGTTTTCTTCTTTTAAGTTTGGAAAAACATTAGACATTGGCAGGTCAGGAGAAAGTGAAACCCGTATGTGTGGCAAGGGGTGTGATGGGATGTGTGCTCTTCATACCTTCTCCCACATATTCCTGCTTCTGCTCTTTTTTCCTTTTTTTTTTTTTTTGTTATTGTTGTTCTTTTAAATTCCCTTTCTATTAATTGATGAGAAATATCCCAAGCTGAGCTCCCATATCTAAGATTCTCCTCTAGAAATAGTTCTAGTATCAACTAGCTTTCTCTTAATGAACTTTTCCACTCAAATCAGCAGGGTCCCATTACTAAACTTTTCTATCCAATGCTGAGGGATGAAAATGGGTTTTGCTTTGGTTTATTCCTGCATTTCAAACCAGATTAAATTCTTGTGTGAGCACAGGACTGCAGCTTTCTGGAGCTCACACCCCTTGAGAAAGGGCAGCTTTTGATACAAGGCTTAGAACAGAATTAAGTTTATGTCATATTTTGGGTACTATTTGTGTAACTCCAGGTCTAAGGGTTTCTCATGAAGGGCAGAACTGGTGGAAGAGTTAACAAAAAGTAGTGTAAGAGGCACATATTTCAATGGAAGACTTGCCCTTGCTTTACCCTGCTGGCCAGATCTTTACAGGTACCTCAGCTCCTGCCTGCTGTACAGAACAGTTGAGCCAGTTGTTATCCTTTAGGGACTGTAATCTTCACTCTGAATTAGGAGGGAAGAAAAATCTCTATCCATAGCATCTCAGGTTAATAAAGTATGGCAGCAGCAAAAGGGAAAACAAAAATGATGCATGCACTTGTCTGTGTTATGTAAGAAAATGTATCTGAATGTTTTCTCTGTCTTCCTCTAGATTTGAGTCTCATCCTTTTGCAGTTGCTGAGAAATTGAAAGTTTATTTCTGCTGGGGATGGGGACTCCATAGCCAAGGGTTGTGCAACTTATGAAAAAGACTGTATTTGATGTTACCTGGATTTAAGACAAATAGCAAAGTAAAATCAAGCATCCTTTGTGAAACTGCTGCTGGCAGCCTCCTTGCTTCCCTGCTTCATCATTAGAATATCTCTGCCAGTTAGTTAAATAACTAGGTCAGCCTGGGAGAGAAAAAACATGTTCCTTGATCTTTGTGCTGTCCCTCCTGTTTTCCCATGTGTTTCTCTTTATAGCCCATTTCTCAGCTACCCAAGTTAGGAGCACATTTGCATTATCAAGTGTGAAGCCATGGGGGAGAGGCAGGTGCATCTGGTGAGTGTGGTGGGGAGGGGGGAGCACAGGACTTTCCAGGTGCCTCAGAGGCCAAGGAAGGGGCACATTCACCTGCTGGTTTGGGTTTCCCCCATTGCTCCTGGAGCACCAATGCTCCCTCCAGCTCTGCATCCCTCCAGAGTGCATCCCCTGCCCTGGGTACCTCTGGCTCTGAGCCTGCTCCACCTCCTGCCCAGCACTTCAAGGAGACAAGGATGGGTTCAGATGCAAACACAGCCCACAGGGCTCTGTCCTGGCTGGATGGGATTGGGGTTTTTGTGTGTGATATTTTTCCTGATGGCCAGATCTCCTTCATTGTGGCCATTGATCTGCACATAACAGAGCCTCAGTGATGGCTAAGACTTTGAGAAAGTTTGTGCTATTGTTGCATGAATTCATGTTACAATTGCCTAACCTGATTAGGTTAATTATTTCAAATCTTTATAGGCTCTCAAATTGAAGAAGCAATCCAGGCTGTAGCCCTGAATCAATCTTGGCTGAAACTGTGATGTGCTGATATAAGAGGCAGTGGCATCAACATGCATTGCACCTCCCTGTAGTCTGCTCCTGACAATATCTCCAGAGTTTCACAGTTAATATGACAGACAGATTAAGAGCTACTGATTAAAAACTGCCACTGTATTATTTAATCCTTTTTTGAAAAAAGTGCTTCTCATTATGCCATATCATGTCATAAGCATTTAGTCCTTTGTCCACTGGTTTTAAGAAAGATTTTAGTCAAAATTTGTTATGTGCGTGAATAGAAGGTCTACTTAGCTTGTGCTCTCCCCTAACTTCAATATTCTTTTTTAGGAGTTCTTTTTATTCCCTACTTCTGCTAAACCTAAGAGCTTTTCCTTTTGGAATTCTCTAACATCAGCAAGAATTTGTATTTTGCTATTAGTATATATGGTGCTGATTATCCCATCATTTGTCACTGACATCTATTTTTATTATGAAGATCTTAGCATTTTGATATGAAATTTTAACAGTTCAGTGAGGAGGCATCCTGTTTGCTGCATTTACTTCCTGTTGTTACATTTTTATTGTTTTGTCCCCCATTAATGAGATTCTAGGTTTTTAAGAATATAGCTGCCTTTCTGAAATCTAAGTATCCTATAGTAAAACATTCTCAGAGGGAAAATTACTTGGCAATAGTGTTTTCAGGATTAAAGTTCATCTGGTTCCATACCCATTGCCATGGGCAGGGACACCTTCCACTATCCCAAGCTGCTCCAAGCCCTGTCCAACCTGGCCCTGGACACTTCCAGGGATGGGACACCCACAGCTGCTCTGGGTGAAGAATTCAAGCTATTACCTGCCTGGGTGCAAGTTAGCAGCTCTTCTCCTGCAGCTCCTGAAGGGTTTGCTGGTGAAATGAAACCTGAGAGGCCAGGAGGTGTGAGTGTGTCTCCTGTTTCAGGTATTCCCTCCTGCCCCACCTGGGTCATCTCTAAGGGAGTCAGGGCTCTGTCACACACACATGTTTCACAATATCAGCCTTCTGAAATGCAAAAAGCATTTCCTTAAAAAAGGAGGAGGAAGTCTCCAGGAAAATACCGAAAGTGAGGCAGAGGCTGTGGCTTTTTGCAGTGGCAATTATTTTAAGTGAACTGCCTGTAAGGATTTTGCAGTTTGAAGTGGCAGGTTGCGTATTTTGCACAGACAGGATTGTTAACGTGTGAAACATGCTAAAAATTGACCAATAAAGGCACCTGGATATTTCAAACATAAATAGTGTGTACCAAAATAGCTACAGAGCAGATGGCCTGGCTCCACACACACCTTGCTGACCAGAATACTCGAGCTACACGCACAGCCAAAATCTCAATCTTCAAAGCTGATCATCTGCAAAGGCAAGGGTTATCCTCATGCTACCCCTTATCTGTCAGGCACAAGGCTCCTGCACATGTTAATTAGTGTATGCTAGAGGGATAATGAACCCCAGCTTTGTCTGAACTTGCTACTACCCCAGCAAAGCAAATCACCTGTTCTAGAGCTCAGGCTCTCAAAAGTTGGTGAGATTAAAACAACTGTGAGCTGAAATCTGATCTGCAGTGGAAAGATCCCAAAACACAGAGGGCTGGGTTTGCCAGCCCGCTCACAGTACTGCCTGCCACTGATAAACAGGAAATTGAGTCTGTTTCTCACTCTCATTTTTTACCTTGGATGCTAAGACCAAATATCCCCATTCCACATATTGACCAGGATGTAAGGCTTTTCATGCCTCCTTGTATGGTTCAACAGATGTGAAAGGGAATTATCACTTCAACATGATATCAAGACTCTCTCTTATTTTTAATTTTTTTTAGCTGATGGCAGATTACTAAGCCTGAATTCTTGTTTAATTTTAGTGTGTTAATTGATGGAATAATGAGCATTGATTATATGTGTTTTGGCTTCGTCATTGCAATTACAGGCTCTGTTTTATTCATGAGCCAGTCCTAAAGAATGCACTAGAGATCTAAGACAGCTTAAACCTCTCAGAAAAAGGCTCTGAATTGTTTGAGTAATGACACTCTTAGATGGAAAATTAAAGGTTCTCTTTTCCCATGCTTTTTAAGATAATTAAAATCCAGGAACGGTAAGGTGGTGAACATCCTTATTCATTAGCCTTCAGTAATTTAGCTTCTACTAAATGAGGAAAACATTTTAATTCTCTGGGCCATCTGTTGCAGTCTCCTTTGTGTGTCCCGTTACATAAAGTCTCATCATGGACCGTTTTAACATCAGTATTGTATCCTTTCACCAGGAACGATGAGCTGGATGAGGTAGCTGAAGTCACCACCTATTAACAGACCACCCTGGAATTAAACTGCCTGCTTTGTCTTTAAACTTGAAGTTATCCTGTCTAGACACCTCTAGGCAAAGGATCCGCAGAGAGGAGCCCGTGCATGGAGCTAGGCAGTGTGACAAGCTGTGTTTTCTAATAGCAGTATCCATGCCAATAAATAACAAAGTTCACTGGAGCCCTTCCAGTTCCTCTGATGCGCGCCTGCTCTGCCATATGGCTCCGAGCTGCTTGGGGAAGCAGCACTCCCTGCTCGGGTGGGAAGCACAGCCCAGGCTCCCTGCTGGGGCTGCCTTGGAGCTGGTTTGGAGGCAGAGCAGGGCTCTTTGCACTTTGATAGGGAAATAGAATAAATATTAGAGTAGGAGTGTGCTCACCTAGGATAAATGCTGGATCAGGAGCTAGGAAATGCTTGGATTCCAGCTCTGGCTGCAGGAATAACTCACTTTATAGCTTGGGGCAAGTTACATTATCCCACAGCAGGAATGTTTCTCATTAAAATTATAATTTGTATAGATGAGTGGATGCAGTGTCAAAGTTATTCCCGATGCAAAGTTACATCCCCACAGGTCTGAGAGGATCCAGGTTCCATTGAGTTGGGTTTGTTTCTGTCAAATTCCCCTGTAAAATTCAAGCCCCACTGCTTGCCAGCCCAGCAGTGCCTTCCTGCTGCAGACTGGGGTATTTCACTGGCTCCAGGATTCCCAGGTAGTGTTTGCATTATTGATAGGCATGGCTACAAGCAGGCTGCTGCCGCGGGGCAGAGCTTCCATCCACCTGCTTGCTATTGCCCCGTTGCCTGGAGATCACAAACAGCCTGGCCTGGAGATGTGTGGCTGCAGAACAAGTGTTCCCAGTATGAAGCAGTACTCAGTCAGTCAGCCTGCTCCTGCTGCCACCAAAAAAGGCCCTCCAGCTGCTGCAGGCATGCCCAAGGGGTAAGTCATCTCTTTGTTGTGGCATCTGGGTGATCTGCCATTTGTGTTGAAACTCATCATCTGGGTGTGTTTGTCTCTATCACATGCTCTGTAATTAGTTTCCAGCAATTCAGCACAAGGTAAGCAGGTTTTAGGTTTTGATTGAAAGCAGGGGGGTGATTCTCACAAATGTGAATCCTGCTGGAAATAAAAGTTATGTGTTTGCTCCAAACTGAGGGCATTGGTGAGGAGGGGATGGCAGACCCCTCTCCACTTTCCTGGGAATGGCTATAAAATTGAGAAACCTCTGGGGCCTCTTTTATGTTCATGGAGAAATTACATGAGTGTGTTGCAATGTCCCTCACTTAAAATTAATAATTAGCTTTAGTTACAACTCCAGGCTACTCACTCAGGTGAGGGATTAGAAGCTGTGTGATCTTGTGCTTCTTGTAGAGGCCATTTTCCTTTCCACTGTGAAGGAAAGACACTGTCCCTTGGGAAGCCCTGAGTTCCTGGGTGATTAAATAAAACAGAAATGAGCAAGCTCATTCATGGAGAAATTCAATACCCTACACAATTTGCCAAGTGATAATTGTGCCTCTCTGCTTTCTCACCACCAGTGTACCCATTGCCAAGCAGCTGGCATCAATTAAAGGTAAGGGGAGCCCTTCACTGCCCCTTTGGGGTTCAGGTCCTTCACAGCCCACGTGCAGAAAGTTCTGGCAGTGTCACAGGGCTTGCAGAGGCTGTGCAGATCCTCAGCTGGTGCAAGTCAGGAGGGTCTCATGGGTCCCTGTGCCATGTTCTCCAGTGCTGTCACATCTCTTGTGCTTGCCTTTTCATAAAAAATCACAGCATAAATCATCTGTGTAACCCCTGCTAGCAGAGCTTGTGAGCATCAGCAGTTCAGAGTCATGCACAAGGGTGGGATGGATCCAGCCCAGATCCCAAGTTTGCCATAATGCTGAGGTGCAGCACTGGTGCTCAGACAGGGATGCTCCCAAAGGGGCCCTGTTTTCCCTGGTGCAGGTCTCTGGGGCTCCAAATGCATCCAGGAGATGGCCACCATGGCCTGTCCCCGTGGTGTGGCAGGTCCCTGCTGGATGCCCAGGGTCAGGACAGGCCAGGTGGGTCTCAATCCTCAAGCTGTGCCACAGCCCTGGCTCTGAAGGAGAGCTCCCTTCAGGGTGTGATTGCATGGGATATGAGGCATGGTGCTGGCCCATTCCAAATAAAATCTGGGCCAGATCCTCTGTGGGTATAAACAGTTTCAGTCTCATTAACTTTAATGAAACTACACAGATTTCCACCCACCCTGGATGGTTTTAACAGATTCCTTTCAATTATATCTCAAAAGATTTTTGGTTTTTTTGTTGGGTTTTTTTGGATAAACTTTTCCTCCCTCCAGCTCTAAGAAAAGGCTCAGACCTTGAAAAGGCCTTTGCCACAGCAGCTTTGGTGTATAACAACCATGCTGACCCTGAGAGCAAGCTCAGCAAATCTGAAACCAAGAGCTTACTGCAATCCCAGTTCTGGCACTTCATCCAGGTGAGGGGGTCTGCTGGCTGGGTGGCACTGGGACAGCCCTGGGCACTCTGGGGGCAGGAATGGCAGCTCAGGCTCTCTCCTGCAGCTTGGCCAGCATCAGGCAGTCCATGGGGTCATCCCAAGGGAGACTTGAGGGGTTTGGTACAAACAAATTCTATGACTGAGTTGCTTTATGTGAGCCTGTGTCTAACACAGGGCCAAGGGAGGGGGACAGCAACAAACCGCAGCTGATTCCTGCTTGGATTTGTTTAAAGAAAACAGGGCAATTGCAAAAAAAACAAAACAAAAAACCCCAACCAACCAACTAAATGAAAACCCTTGGATGATGACAAGAGGCTGGTTTTAGGAAGAGAAGAAGCTCATGGTATTTAACAAGGTGTGTGGTGGTTTGCCAGAGCACTGGGGGCCAGCCCTGTGCTGCAGAGCCATGTTCTGTGTTCTCTGCTGTCACTGGTGGGGTTCCTGGGAGAAAGGGGCAGAAAGGAGTGGTGAAAAACCATCACAGCAGCACTTGTGGCTGTCAACACCCCACTGGTTTATTTCCCCTCCATAAATTGAAAAAAAAAAAAAAACACCAAAAAAACCCCACCAAAAACCCACAAAAAAACCCCAAAAAGCCCCACCCAAAACAATTATCAAGTGGTAGGAAAAGCTATATAGGACTAATAAAAAAGAGTTCAAATAAGCAAATGAGAGAGGTAATATAATACCTTTACTTCCAAAAATAGCAAGATCACATGACTGGTTGGGGAGGGGAAATTGGCACCAAATTAGAAATGAGGCACCTTATTGAAAAAGAATTGAAAATATTACTGGAAGTAATTAAGCTTGGGATCCTGAGATGGTTTGGAAATTAGGCTAAAAAACTAACCTGGAACTCTAGCAAAGCTTTTTTGTTAGGAAATATAAATAATAGATATGTTACAGAATTTTAATAATCCATTCCAACAGGAATGCCCAAGAGGACCAGGAGTAGCAGTATTAAAGTTATGCCTGTAAAATCAACAGTCTCTGAGACCTTCACAATATGTGTTTGTATATATTTGAATATTAAATTTAAGAGGGTTGGTTGTTTCCTCCTCCCAGTTTTATCAGGACACAGGACACCCTTTTTTATTTAACAGTTACCAGCTGTATCATCATCATTGTCAGATTTTCAGTCATAATTAGGTGTCTTTTAGACATAAAGATATATGCTGGATTCTGATGGAAATTTTGAGGACTGGTTGTTCTCCTTTCTGACTACAATAATATTTCTGTTTGAATTTCTCTTGAAAAACTAATATGAATGTTGACATAACAACCTGAATGGGAAAATAAAAAATACATTAATATTTACATAAGTAGATGTCTTTCTTTTTTTCTAGTGATGCAATAAAAAAGGAATTTCATACTTCTTTTTTTTTTTTTTCATTTAAAATCCTCCATAGGGCCAAGAAAACAAACCAAAATACCAGGAAATTATTTCTTCCTTGGATGAGGAATCAGAGAACAAAATTAATTTTGAAGACTTCATGATCTTGTTAGTCAGTCTCACTCTAATGTCTGACCTGCTGCAGGAGATCAGAAATGTGAAAACCACAAAATGATCTGTGATTTTAAAGAAGAAATGGCCTGGCAGCATGTGAGGAAAGCATGAGTGAGGTACACACAGAGTGCCTGGATTCCCTGTGCTGGTCCCTTTTAAATGGAATAAAGTTGTGTCCAAACCTGGCTGAACTTACTCCTCTCTTGAAACACTCCGTGAAGCTGATGCTCAGGGATTTGTGTCCCCTCCATTTGTGCTTTGCAGAGTGGGTGACTGGCTCCTGCTGGGTGCAAGAGCAGGGAACAGCTGTGGGGCAGCCCCAGCCCAGTTTGATGCCAGGGAAAGGCAGCCCAGGCTCTCCATCCTCTCCCTATGGTGGTGGTGGGACATGATGGAGACACAACTGCCAAAATGTGCAGCTGCCAAAATGTGCAACTCCCCTGGAGTCAGGGCTGCCCAGCTCCCTGGGCTCTCCCAGCCTCCCCAGGGGGCTCCAGCTCTGAGCTGGGGTCACCAGTGATGGGCTTCACAATGGGCAATGACCACAAAACCTGTTCCTGTCTTAGGTAAAGGTTGATTTTAGTCTGAGTGGTTTCCACCCCACCATTAACCCTGCTGAAGGGAGCATTTGTTTACTGTTATTCCCTCCTCCAGCTGCTTTCTTCATTTACAGATCACAATGGAAGGAATCTCAAGTTCAGCATTTGCAGGGCATCCCTGGCAGTGCTGTGCTTGCATAACCAGGGGAGTGACCCAAACATGGCAGCCAGCTGAATCTGCTGTGCCATGAAAATGTGAAAGGCAGAAACCAGATAAGAGGTGATCCAGACCAGGGATGGTGGGAAAAAAGGGTGGCCAATAAATTGTTAGTTTTGGAACTGAGTGATATTGGTTAGGGCCAGAGCCTAAGCATTAAATGCTCATCATCCTAATATTTGGTTTGTTTCCTACCTACAAAGTCCTGGCTCAGAGCCAGTATTTATCCCACTGTGTCCCTTTAGGGCAGAAAAAACAATCTCATGCCCCAGGAACAGAACAGCCCCTGCAAGGATTTAATAAGAATCTACCAAGATGAATGAGCCAGCAAAATGTTGGAGCCTTTTAAATTTTTTCTTCTTCCTTGGCTAGAAAGGGGAAGACAAGAATGATTTAGCTCTGGTGGATAAATTTTTAACAGGAAGGGATCAAACCCTCTAGTGTTAAAAGAGGGAAATTAATGCCTGCTGAGTAATGAGATTTAACTCTTTGACATAAAAAGGCTCTTAGTGTTTTCAGGGGCTAAGATGATGTTTTGTGATGGATTTTGATGTGAAGGAAAGACTACAATAGAAGACCCAGCCAATTGTTTGGAGAAGAAATGTCTCTGTGCAGGGATGGAGCTGAAAGAAGAAATGCAGATGGATGTGGTGGGGTCTGAAATGAAGCTCAGCGGGTAAGGTGCTGGTTTGGGGTTTGGGCCTCAGCCAGGACAGGCCTGGTCTGGAGGCTAAACATTCCCAACTGGTCCTGCTACAAATAAAACCCCTGATTAGCAAAGCCCCTGCTGTGATGGTGGCTGCAAGAACAGGCAGCCTGCAGCCTGTGGCAAGAGGTGACAAAGCCAGCATGCAGTGTTTCTGTCTGTCCTGTCTGTTCTGTCTGTTCTGTCTGTCTGGCTGCCCAGGGAGCATCCCCCTGCTGTCCCAGTGCTGGGAGGGTGCCTGCTCCCATGGGTGCCCATCCAGCCTCCCAGGGTGGGATCACCCACCTTGCTACCACAGTTTAACACTGATACTCTGTCCCTGGTGTTGCTCACTCACTTTCCCTGTCCCCCTGTTTTTTGGCCAGGTAGGTGAAAGCCTAAAATATCAGCTGATGCTCCTTTTCTGGGGTAGGAAGCTGGACTGGATGTGAGTGTCTGGGCAGGTTTCCCATTACTCAGGCAAAGAAAACACAGCACAGCCCTGAAAAGATTGTTTGGGAGCCACCGGTGATGCTGGAAGCATAAATTTGCTAATATCCTCTGTCACCAAAAAAAAAGACTGAAAGGAAAAAATATTGTGAAGCCAATTAAGAAAAAGTTCTTTGAAATTGCTAAGGCTCTAACAGAGTTTTTGTTGTTGCTGAAATGTTTCTAGATCTTGCATAACTTGAATTAATGACTTAAGAGCCTTTTATCAGCCTTATTCACTCTGTCATCTCATCATGTGCAAACCCTTTTTATCCCAATTTGGTGTGTTGTGAGCAACATCCTGAGTCCCTGGCTTGGATCAAAAGCCCCTTGTGCTAAGCATAGTGAAAATTCAAAGTAAGAAGCAATTCCTGAACAACTCAATAGCAAAGATATTCAAATGGTAGGGAAGGAATCAGAGGCACAGGAAAAGCAAGTGAGCAGAGGTAGCAGAGCTGGATTCCAGCCTGCACTGGGCTCCTCACAGAGGCTGAGGCACTGGGACAGTTTCTGCAAGAGTTTCTGAACAAGGTGAATGGGGCTCGATCTGCATGAGCCCTTGAAAGTCCCAACCGATGCTCAAAAGCAGGAGGAAATGCTTGGAGCAGCCCCAGCATCTTCCTCCAGTTAGGAGGAGGCAGAAATTTGCACCGTGACTGTGGAAGATGCTCTTTTATTAACTCGGAGTGTTTGTGCCCTGAGCACTCCCAGCTGCTGGCTTTGAAGCTGATCTGGTGCAGACAGCATGTCTGGCTGCATCCTCAGGGAGCAGACTCTGAGCTCGCTCAAATGCTGCTGTTGTGCTTTGTTTTGTTCCTTGCTTGCTCCTTTTGGAAGCACAGAGAGTTCAGCATTGATTTCTCAGAGCAGAGCCCAGCAAGGGCTGAGGAGCAGAGCAGCAGCTGAGCTGGTGGAATCCTCAGGTTCCTCTGCCTCTGCAAGTGGGAGCATCATGGCAGTGTCTGATACCCCAGAAGTGAACGTGGTGTGAAGATCAGGCAGCCAGGACCTGACCTCTGTGTGCTGGGGGTTGTGTTGGGATATGTGCCATTGGCATTTGGCATCCAAAGTGATGGATGCCACGTCTCTGCTTGAGTTTGGAAAATGAAGCTGGGCAAGTATTCTTACAGCAGGGACAAGCAGAAACATCTACAGCCCAGCCCTGAGACCCTTCCTCCTCCTCCAATGGTTGCCCAGAGAGCCTTCCCACTATTTCTCTGATTTGTTTTCCCAGGAGTATGAGATTTGTTTGCTTTGGCACCTGGGACTGTTGGAGGAAGTCTGTGTAAAGATGCTGATCCATTTGCTGGTGAATTTTTCTTGATCCAGTTGTTCTTCCTCCATCCCACATAATGCTCTTTTGAGGTTTGTCTGAAGAAAACCTGCACTAGCAGACACATTCGGTTAAGCATTAAATGACAGCTTTTTTCTCTGAAGCTGGCAGGGGCAAAAACCACACTGGGCATGGAATATCCACAGGTAAATTCCATTTTTTCTTTGGACACTGTGGCTGGTGTCATGGCATCCCTGTGTTTATACACCACTACGTGGATTGTATAGTGTTTTGCCTAATTAATTAATAAAACCAAATTGCAAAATTGCTTTCTTATTAAATTGATCTCACTGCAGAAATAAGGCTGATTACTTCCCTGACAAATTTTAATTAGGCAGCTACAACAAACTGTAATAAAGAGCACAAATTAAAACCAGATCTTACTAGATGTGGCTTTATCAAATGCTGTGTTAGTACCAGGCAACATACACAATGATTAAACTACACAGAAAAAACTCATTTTTTCTCTTCTGGTAAAAACCTATCTTCTTTCCAGGGGAAGAAGCATTTATATAAAAATGTCACATTAATAACCAACACATCAGTAAGTGTTTATTGGTAGTTGCTTTCCAACAACAGCTCTTGCACATTCTGCCAGACTCAAACATTAAGGCACTCTTTATTTCTCCTCTAATTTTATACTTGTAGTACACATGACCCAAGGTGACTGCAAAGCCTCTGAGGACAGGAAAGGCTTTATTACCTGCACATTTACTCCTCAATTTGTCATTCCTCTTTTAGCTCTTTAGGGCTTGGATCCAGCTCAGCTGAAACCAGAACACAATTTGATAAGGATTTGCATAAGAATTGTAAGCAGAGGCCCACACAAATTAAGCATTAATTAATGAGCACCTAAAGCCTTCTGCTGAATGCAGCCTGAGGCCAAGCAATGCTGGGAGTGCTCAAGTACATGTGAAGGAAAGAGTGGGTAAGCACAGCAAATTAAAGAGAAACGCTTAATTCTTCTCTAATACCTATTCCAGCCCTGGAGACTGCAGAAGAATTGCAGATTTCTTATCCCTGTTAGAGGATGACAAAGGTCAAAAGGAAAGCTCTTCCTCAGGGAGCTGAATTCATCTAGCAGCTCCCAGGCTGTGTTGTGTGCAGGATGCCGGAGCATTAATGGTGCTCTGAGCTGCCCCAGCCTGGGCAGTGTGGGGGTGCAAAGTGGGGCTGGGGGTGTTGGGGTGGGAGTTTGGGGTCTGCTGGTGCCCTGGACAAGCAGGCAGTGCCCAGGGCTGCAGGTTTGTGCTGCCTGTTGCAGGGTCTGGGATGGGAGTGAAGAGACCACTGAGGTGACAGGACAGTGAACTTTGGATTTGAAAAAAGGCTGCAAGAGACTGGAGAATTTTGAAATCTCAAGTGACCTTTTCTTTATGTTGTTCATGCATACATCTAACACATTGGCAAAGGATCCTGAGGAAACTGGCTTGTAGCTCTCATAGGTGGCAGCCAAGCTCTGGACACATCTGCTGCCCCCATCCCACCTGTTATAACCAGAGCCTTCCCAGAACAACATTTTGGCTCCGGTTCTCTCCTTTTTTTTCTAGCCCTGAGAAATGTTTAGCAGTTCTCTCTCAGGTGTTTAACTGGCAGCTCTCAGCTGCTACATATTTCAAATCAGCTCAGGAGTTCTGATAAAAGGAAAACACCCTTTTTTTACAGAGCTCTTGGGAGAGAGGTCAGGGTGGTGGTCTTCCCGTGCTGAGCAGATGGAGGGCTGTTCTGTCCTGCCTTACAGGTATGTGAAATACCTCCTTGCACTTGACATCTGTTAATAGAACATAAAATAAATGCTGGTATTAAGTGGAGATGGAAGGTTGTTGGTGTCCATGACCTAGTGCAGCTGTGTAGCTGTCTCGAGCACAGAACTTCATCCTGCTAGCCTTAGAAAAGCCCAGGGAGA